GAAACAAATCTCCAAGACAACTGTCCTGAGATCTAGATGGATGCTTACCCAGAAGCAGGGCTAAGGAAAACCTTGTTGAAACTATGAGGATCATTTGATATACTCCTTGATTTAACTTTGGTTAAAAAGCATGCCAAAAATAAGTATGATCTATCTTAGATGAAATATGCTTAATGAGCTATAATTTCTGTTCATTAGACTGAACCCCTGAAGAAACCCCTGTGGAATACCATTTGTATAGGGAGATATTCACAGGACATTTATTATTTCAGAATTATTCATCATTCAACCTAGTGGTTACAACAACCAGAGTAAAATTTTAGCAACTTCACTTCTACAAGATTATTCATCGAGGGCGTTGTCAGAGAAGCTAAACTCTATCCCAAAGATCAGGGTATGGGAAATAGGATTGTTTTATCCCCTTGATTTAATAGAAAAAGTAATTCTAGTTTTGATCCCAATCACAGATCCATTAAAAGTTTATAATGCTCATAAAATGTTCAAATAATGTTTATAATCTTCATAAAATTAATTTATTAGCAGAAATTTATCCTACCTCATATTCTTTAGCAAGTAAAAGTATTGTTTGGAAAAATACTATGGTGCCCTGCAATTCATTCTCACATTTCCTCCCCTGCAACTGTTATACTAAATTTAGTCTCTTCTCACAGAGTGTTTAGAAAAAAATCATAAGGTACCTCTAATGATTTTGAATGTTAAGTGATGACTTGTGGGCATTGCAGCTGGAAGTGTGTGCATATCTCCTCCCCAACACTACCAGATCAGCACTAGAATATGGAGGTTAATTACATTCCAGCAAGGTAAACATCGCAAACTGGAGGGAACTTGCTGCTTTTTTTGGAAAAGAACAAAATCTTGTAGGTGACAGAATCTGCTTTCTTCCTGTAAAAGGCACTGAAATTGCTGTGAAAGGCTCTAGATGACCACATGAGGATTTGGATGCAGTTTTTATTTATTTTTAAGCATGTCTGCATCTTTCAAACTGCATGACTGCGTCTCTGCTCTGAGGAAGAGGTATCTGTCTTAAGCAGAACGCATAGCTTTGTAAATGTCAATACAATCTCAGAAATAACTTGTATTAAAACAATACCATGAGAATGCACTGACCTGTTACTTTCGAAACAACATCTGGTCATATCTTAAAGCAAAATCAATAGAAACTATAAATTATAAAGCATCTGAAGAGCTAATATTGCTTAATAATTTTAAGATATAAGTTAATGTTAGATAAAGAACAATTGCACTATATTCATAGATTTCCCTCTGGAAAACTTAGAACAAGCGATATCTTTATTATGGAGGTTTAAAAATAACTTCATTTTTACATACATGCTCGTCAGCATCAAAGTTAAAACTTTTTACTGCTCTTAAGGCAACAGTCTGGTTTTGATTTTGACTCCTCTGGAAGTAAGATACTACACTTTATTGTTAAAATGTATATTGTGTTTCTAGTTTGCATTTGCACCGCACCCTAATTTAAGCTCCAGTCTAGCAAGCACATGCTTAAATACATGCTCACAAAGACAATAGGTCCACCATGCATTGACTATTCAAATATTAACTATGTACTTCACTGCTTTTCTGTGGAAAATCCAAAACAATCTATGGACAGTAGTGCAGAAAATCATTGTTTCATCTCATAGAAATTCTAAAAAAGAGTATCTATACTTAAATATAGCTTATTTTGATCATATTCACATTTCATGAAAATGTAAAATTGGGTTATGCTCTACTGAAGTCTAGCGAAAGAGTCTAAGACCCGAAGTTTGCTACTCAAGGCGAAGACTAGACTTGTTTTCCCACAGGTGGAAATTTTCATTTGAATAGGAAAAAAACATTTTTCTGTGCCTGGAGAAGTTCGGTCAAATTAATTCCTGCAAAAAGCTTCAAATTAATAAAAAATTTTCTCCAGAAAATAATAGTTTCAAAAATAATTCCCAAAGAATCTAATAATGTGAACTATCGATGTCCTAGAACCAGATTAAATAACAGAAAGTGTTAACTGTTACTGTTACTAATTCACTTACTTTTACAGATACTTAGGCATGTTCTGTTGTAACATAATTTCTGAGCAGTTGACAGTTATTTGCACAAATGTTTACAAATGTGTTTTTTGTCTTATCTCGTAAATCTACCATGTACCATTGATGCCAGAGGCATTTGTTCATCTGTTTGAATCAAATAACAAAAACATCCTGGTGCTCTGTGTTTGTGTACTTCTAGCTGTTGATTCGTCTGCGTTGCTATATCAGTGCAACTCCTACATATATCCCTACATCCTAGGGCAACAAAGATGATTAAGGGATTGGAGCACCTCCCTTACGAGGAAAGGCTGAGAGAGCTGGGGATCCTTAGCCTGGACAAGCGAAGACTGAGGGGACACCTTATTTATGTTTGTAAGTATCTAAAGGGTGAGTTGAAGGATGCTGGAGCTGGACTCTTTTCAGTGGTTTCCAGCGATAGGACAAGGGGCAACGGGCCTAAGCTGGAACATAGAAAGTTCCATTCCAATATGAGAAAAAACTTCTTTACAGTGAAGGTGCCAGAGCCCTGGAACAGGCTGCCCAGGGAGGTCATGGAGTCCCCTTCTCTGGAGATCTTCAAGCCCCAGCTGGATGCAGTCCTGAGTAATGGGCTCTAGGTGTTCCTGCTTTAGCAGGGGAGTTGGACCAGATGATCTCTAGAGGTCCCTTCCAACTCTGACAATTCCGTGATTCCATGATTCTGTGATGTATACTGCAAACAGCATCCTCTAATGGAATAACCAACATGAAAAGGTCATCAGCCTTTCCATTAAGTCTTTATACTGAAAGTTACACTAGTATATCTATTACTGCACAATAATTATGGCACATTTTTAGACGCCAATAAACCCTTAAACACTAAGAACTATAATAATAATAAAAACAATGGCTAAAAATTTGGTGCAGCTCATTCAACCAACCACAGGTAAGTAAACGGTTTGAGTTTGAAACATATCTGATCAAGTCTTAGGGGAAAATATTTGAAAAAATACTGGTGTAAAAGATATTACTGGTAATGGGTGAATTCTAGGACATCATGAATGTTTAGGAATATTCTGTGACGAAGCCATGATCAAAAGACTTTCATGGTACATTATTTGCTGAGCTTTGTCAAACAAAAGAATTATGTGGAGAAATACACAAAACACTGATTCTAAGTCAGAGCAAAACAAAGCAGCCGGAAGTGATTAAAAACAACCCATTTAAACAAACACAAAAGCAAACAATGTCATCTGGCGCTCCAAAAGGCAAGGGCTCCTGAGGAAATGAATATAGAATTTTGTGAAATATTTAAATTTCTGCTGGTAAGTCTAATAGAGATCTGTAGAGAAACCCATGTGGCTGTCTCATAAATTCCACTTCCCACCCTTTACCCATTTGCAGCCGATCTATCTGGTTAGATTGGCCAGCTTGCAGTTACAGGCTTTCACAAAAATGGTGGTAATGTTTAAAATGCAAAGATGGAGGCCATATCTTCATGAGACACCCCACTGGTTGCAACAGGAATGAAGACAGCCATGGCAAGTTTGTCTTGAAGATTACAGCAGCATATTCATATATGCCTCTAAATGCTATCTCTAAAAAATGTGAGTACTTAAGCCAATTCCATAAAGGGATGATTTTTTCCCTCTCCTATGTAAAAATATCTCCTTTTGTAACTGACACTTCTATTGAAGAGCTGCAATAGGTTTCTATTAAGATATTTTCCATGAAAATTTCAAGACTGACAGATCTCTCAAGAAACAGATAGCTGAAGGCTGATGCTTAATAATTATAACGTATACTCCTGAGGGGTGTGTTAGCATTCTACAGCTCTTTCCCAAACTCTTCCTTTCCCCATTTGACAGTGCTTTTTCTAATCTCAGTCCCGCTTTCTTTCTATTCCACTACTATCTTCACGGTAAAAGCTCCCTTTTGCTTCTTTCTCTATGCAGTGTTAGTCTTAACTATTCTGCCTCTTTTGTGTTCTACTCTTGGCTTTGTTCTCCATTCTTTCATTTATTATTCTCCACCGTACCCTAATTACTTATATTGCTCCCAAGTTGGAGGTTAGTGTTGTAAACAGTTTTCAATCCTTCTTTGGCATCTTCCTTTCATCATTCACTTTCCTTACCTTTTCTCCTTTGGTCCTCTGGAGACCTTTACTTCTTTTAACAAGCCACTATAAAGTGACTCCCTATTCATTTGATGTTTTAGCTCACTGAGTTTATACAACTCAATGCCATTTCAAATATGTTAAGCTGTTTAGTGGCATTCTTCGTTGGTATGTTGTCTTCTTTCTCTTTAAATACTCCCAAGCTAATGGATTGCCAATTAATTAGAAATAGTTAATCTTCACAATAGAATAAACACTATGTGTTTGTGTCTCTTGGGGAGCTCCTAAACTAATTTTTATGACTGTGTTATTAACCGTTCTTACTACTTGGCAGCCTGTCAATGGAAATAAAAGTTCACTGAGTAGATATCCAGGCCATAGTTTGTAGTTTGTTTTCCTTGAGCACGATGCTTCTGCACCCACTGTCTTTCCCTTCCTTTACTGTTTGTTGCCAGGCTGCACTGTCTTTAAGGATACCATTTTGGGGGGTCATGCAGATGGTTGAGCTTCACCAGAAGACAGATTAAAAACTAGTAGAACTAATGATTTTTTTTAACTCCTGATTGCTTTTGACCTGATTTGTTGTGTGAAGCATGATGTGCCCGTTTTGCCAAGGAAGAAGCAAAAAGGAAGGAACATGTGGTAGAGAAGATTTTGAACTACTACTGGGGCAATATATCTCCTACGGACTTCAAATTGAGGGAAAAAAAGACAAAAGGAAGGGGAGTAGACAGAGAAGAAGAGAACCCAACACTGGTACGGCTATTTATCATGTGTTATACACAAAATAAACCTGGTTAAAATTATTTCTAAAAAAGGTAGTTCTCAAGGAATGGATACCATGATGCAATTGCTCATACCTGCTGAAGTTGGTTCCTCTTCAAATGAGTCTGTGCAAAAAGGTGGCAGGGGAAGAGGGTAGGCGGGGACAAGGAATGGGAAGGGAAAGGAGAAGGAAAGAGAAGGGAGAAGAGAGGAAAATAAAGATGAAGAAATGCATATAGTCCTAATTATTATATTATTTACATTTGCTTAGTATGCAAGCAATAAGACATAATGAAAAACTTTATTCTAAATAGTTCGATCAACTTGAGTAACACGTCCCATCTTAGTGGAGAACTAAGCTAGGATCTCAGCTTACATTTATAATATCAGACTCTTACCCTTTCCCTCTAATTTAGGTAACAGGATCTGCCCAGTACTGCAACTGCAATGTTCAATAGAAGAGTTTCAGTTAAATTGTCTGCAGTTAAATTCACTGCCAGGAACTTTCTTAAGGTAACACCTTCTAAAAAATCAACTGCAGAACCCAGTTATTTGGTTAGCTCAGTTGCTGAACGATACAGCTTAACCAGCTGCTGGTTAGCAGTGAATGAGAGATACAGTCCACACCTTTTTCCCATCTCTCCATCCTCCACCCCTTCTGTTCCCTTCAGTGTCTTCCTAACTTGGCCCTGTCAGTAATGAAGTAGTGATCCTGAAATTAAGTATTAAGGAGCAAAAATGGCAGTTAGGGGGTTTGGTTTTACTTTTGTGGTAGGATTGTGGGTGGAGGTGGAAGTTGCCCATTGGACTCTCCATTCCAGATGTTTGTTGGCTGAGGAAAGCAATAAAAATCCATATTGTCATGCTAGAACTTTTCCCCTTGGTGATAGGTAACCATTAGATTGCCTGAAGTTACCATCAGAAAGCACCTTTGACTGTAGGATATCTATTATCCATACATTTAAAAGAAAAAAAGCAGATGTATTCACAGTAAAACTGTATTTTAAAAGTACATCAGTGACCTATTTCTTTCTCTCCTTGCAGTCAGTATGTTTTATACACACATGCATCATAAAAATGGTCTTCTCGCGGTCTTGTAAAGTTTTCAATTACAGAAAAAGCAGCAATCAAGTGTTTCTCACTTGGATACTCTAAAAGCACCTAGAAGTCTGGGACGACCCTCCATATATGTGATATAGAGACACCCTTAAGATACTAAACACAGGTATCCACACTTTTATATTTTCTCTTTTAAGGAATCTTGTCTACCAGTTGAAACTCCTTCTGTTTGATTTCTTGCAGAATCTGTTCCATACAAACAACGCTCCTACAGCCATGGCAAACATTGATCCACCCTGATGGGCTTCAGAGCTTGCATTTGGCGTGGATAAAGGTTACAAACATTTTCTCAAAGATCAGTGCCACGCTTGGTAAATTGGCTTCTTTGCCTTCAATACCACTTCATGCATTATGCTGGGAGAAATTAGGAAAGGAGAAGGAAGACCTTGCCTCTTTTTAGTGAAACTTTGTCAGACATAGCAGAGACCTTGTCAACAGACACCAACTGCATTTGAGACCAACTATAAACCTTGGCTAATTCAGTACAATATTCTATATGCAATTCTATGTGACAATTAATGCTGGACACATCATCTATTTCTAACTGCAGAGTGGCATGGTGTCCTTTTAGGGGCTGTCAAATCCAATCGACAGAAAATAATGAATTACTGTCTGAAGCACCACACCAACCATCTTGTCCCTAACTAAAGTTTCCTGAGGTAAATAGGCGATTTTTATTTGTACAGCTTGGTGTTCAGATAAACACTTAAGAAGGCTACATTACAAGAACAGTATGTTATGAAACAAATAATCTAAAGTGGTCTAAACAGGGTACTTAACATTCTAACCCTTTCCTTTTGTAACTCCTCATTGAATGTCTAAATGTGTATTTTGAAGGTAGTTTAATCCATTTTGAGGTATGTATCTATGTAAAGATCACATAAAGCTTTTAAATTTTACAATATGTTGTTTTATTGTATAATTACTGAATTTAAGTATAATGGATTTGTAATACTAAAGGATTTCAAGACAATGAAAGAAAGAAGAGAAAATACCACCTTATTGTTTTTAAATTGAGCTAACCAGATACATCATTAGTTCAACAGCAACATGACAGCTGATTCCACAAAAAAGAAACTGAGTATTTAAAACTGAAGAGCAACAGAATCAGAAGTAAACAAACAAACAAACTACAAACTAAGCATGTTGTAATTTTTCAAGTTACCAGCAGCAGGGCACAAACAGAACAGAACATGACAGTTAGTTAGAAGTTCTGTTATTAAATTTTATCAATGCCCAAAATCTGTATGAGCTGCAAGCTCGACTGCTCCTTGAGCAACAAATAATTAAAAGTACTAGTGTCTGTGCATTTAAATGGGTTAAACAAAATTGTCTAATTAAATGAAGGATATTCATTTCAGTAACATTTTTTTTCAGACTGCTATTTGAATAATATTCTTAGACTTAATTATTGGCTGAATACCAATATTAGCAATTCAAAACCAGATTCCGTTATTACCCTGATGGTTGTTTCAGCGGGACCTTGCTCTGCACTTAGGTACACATCTAAATAAAAAAACATAACTGAATCTCAACAGAAATAGATCATTCAGATGCCAAGACAGTTATGCTTATAACACTACTTTTCTGTTTATTTTATTAATTTTGACTGTTTGATTGCTGGTTTAGGCTTTTTCAGGAATAGACTATGTTCATTTCTTGTCTGAGTTAGGCAGGAGTTAGTGAGAACTGTTTTCATAAAATGCAAAAGATCTAGTTCTACTTGTCAATACTGTATTTCTTAATCCTAGACAGAAATTAAAGATGCATTTAAAAATAGATATGAAAGTGCAGTTATGGACTTGTTTGTACTTCATGCACACTTTTTTTAAAAATCGAATGAATGTAATCCCTTGCTGTATGTGCCAGAACTACTTTCACCCTCCAGAGCTTGACAAACTGTGTTTAAAAAAGTAGCCTTCAGGGAGCTATTGAGTTCCCAAAGAATACACTATTTTTGCTTTATCATACTGTGTCAAATGCAATGTCAGCACTCTGCTTTCCACTCGTTAAGTAAATGCAGTAAATTACCACACCAAAAATTTCTTACACAACACCACTATTTTTTTCCATCAGCAATGATTTAAAACTTGAAGTTATTTTAAAAGGCTATTTATACAGTGACTCATCTCCACAGTAATTATCTATAATTTACTTTCCTTACTTATTTGAGAGGGGTGGAGAGGGAGTAAACTGGAATTGCCTTGCTCAAGTGAGCTTGCACAAGCTGGTGACTCACTATGTTGAGTGGTGGATCACTATCAGCCTGGCTTTCTCCTGACTCCAGAATAGCGAGACTCATACAGAGGCGCTAGGTGTTTGACAAAACAAGTCCCCAAAACAGTCACTAACATCGCCACGTTGTGATCTGATGCATGACTGCATGACTTTAAACTGTAAACTACTCTGTGGCTTTGAAACACTTTCAGGAACACTTTCCTTCCCCTTTTAAAACATCATTGACAAAATATAATAAGACATATGGCATCACAAACATTAGTTTATATTTTAGAGGAAATCTGGTGTTCACTTGGGAAAACTTAATCATGTTTTCCTTAGAGGTGAATAAAACTGCGTGGGGGGAAAAAAGACCAAGAAGACATGGACAGATTTGGAAAGCATATACCAGGATACATATCGTCCAACATATATTAGCTTAAGAGAGATAATGTAAGAAGGCAATGCTTGGACAGTGTCTGTAACAATGGTAGAAACCTTGACAGGTCTGGGAAAAATCTGAACTTTGACACATAAATAGCTCGAGGGAGGAAGATTCAGTGTAACAGTGTGCTTCATTATATATGACAACACATTACAATTATATTGTCTGGTGTTAATTTTATATCAATGTGGAATACGTTTGCCTTTAATATTTAAATAAAAAATAAGACTCATATATAAAATAATAAACTTAGATATACAACATTATCTCTATGGAAAAGGCTATGCAAGAGAAATTATCCGAATGAACCACCTGTGAACAGTAGAATTCAAGAGCAAATAACTTTTTTGTGAATGTAACGTCAAAAATAAATTATATTCTGTTCAGTGTTAAATCTCAGGATCTCAGAGGACCTGCACACTATGGAGACTTCCCAAAAGCTCAGCATCAGTCATTAAGAATGTGATTTTAATGCTACAGAAGTTTCATTGAATTTCATTACCTGGTCTAGTGGGAGGTGTCCCTGCCCATAGCAGGGTGGTTGGAACTTGATGATCTTTAAGGTGCCTTCCAACCCTAAGCATTCTATGATTCCATGATTCATTGAACATAGGTGCTTAAGAAGTCTACCTCTTCATTTGCTTCCCATCCAACAGACTTCAGTTTGTTTTTCCATAAAATGGCTCAGTCTCCTTTGGATCTCAATGTGTCCCTGTGGGCAGTATTGGCATGACTGATGAGGCAACCCATCGTCAAGGGTCCCCTTGCACCCAACCTCACTCTGTCCCACTCTGTGAGGTTAAATGTGCTAAAGACACCTCCAAGCCACAGCCCAGATGATCAGTGCTATCTGACCAACTCATAACAACTAACTCAGCTGGCTGCCACTGCAACAACTGATATAAATAATTGTCACCCCTAGTTATAAAGAGGAGGAGCAAACCCTGAGAAAGACAGAATATTTTCAAGACACATGAATCTAATGAATCTGGAAAATGTACCACAAATCTGGAAAATGCACCATTTATGCCAGTTGATCACACACACATCTGTTAGTGTGAGTAGGAGGTTTTTATCTCTCAGTTTTACAGTGAAATTGGATTTGTTCTGTTATTGTGTGTTAGTTGTAATTGTAGTCCTGGGACACCAGCACACCCTTCACCTTCTAGCTTCAGCTGGCTAAGCTGTATTAGAAGCTATTCTTAAAAAAATGCCAAATAAAAACAAGAAGGAGGACACCAGGCAACTCACTAGTGCATGTCGGAGATAACTCACTATGAACTGATAAAACTCTGCTTAGATGACAGATGTTAAATGGAAAACAAAGTCATTAATTAAGAAAGC